GTCGTTAAATTACGAATCTATATATATTTTTCTTCCTTTCAGTTTTTATTGAAAAGCAGTACAAATCGGAGAAGGGTTGGCGCCTATGATTGATGGGGTGTCGTCTGCGTCTGACGGAAAGTGACAACGACGCATGCGCACATTGTTTTTTTTTTCACAGATGTGTTCCCTGATTCAGTCTGACAGTCGCTTGTTGCAGACATAATAATGATTTATACGCGCAAAAGGGTGTTGGAAGCCGGTGTGGATGGCCACGAACTTGTCTAGACGGAAGTCAAGGGTAAGCGACAGAAAATTTTATTAGATGCGGGAATCAAGAGAGAGAAATATACTAAAGGTGATTCTGGAAAAAATATATATATATAAAAAGATCAACAAACGAACAAATAGTCAAACAAAACTCGTAAATATTTTGAAGATAGTGAGCAGAGGGTAAAAGATATGCAAACAGTAATAAATAAATACGCGGAGAGAGAGAGAGAGAGAGAGAGAGAGAGAGAGAGAGAGAGAGAGAGAGATTACTTGAAAATAAGTGTGATAATGCGCCATTTTTTTTTACTGTAAACAGAGGGAATTTTCAAATATTATTTGAAAACAAATTATATTGCAAACACAATGAAAAAATCATACAGGACAATATAAAAATTTTGTTCGTTTTATTAAATAAAAATAAAAGATAATTTTATTTTTTACATTAACTTTGTTGACTAATGTAAAAGAATTGTGTTGCAATGGATACTTCCTGTCTTACCCCTAATTATAATGGATGGTGAGGGGGACCTCGAGGTGGTGTAATGGTTAGCAAGCTTGTCTCGCTAGAACAATTACGACTGAGTGAGTTCGATTCTCACTGGGTGCGCCCTAATTTCGGCATTGTGCCGCATCTAAGGTATGCTTGGAAAATCAATATTTGGACAACTCGAGGCGGAGTAATGGTTAGCAAGCTTGTCTCGCTAGAATTATTACGACTGAGTAGTGAGTTCTACGCTTGGAAAACCACCATTATAATGGATGGAGAAAAAAGAAATGGAATTGTGGATATATGAGTCAATGAGAAATTGGGTGGTGATAGGCTTGAGCAAGTATCAAGACGTCCAACTCTCTGCTTTCGGGCGGAGAATAACCAAGACGAGGCTATACCTACGGGTTTATATTGCCCCTCATAAAAACCAGCCTTGTGACACATCCTGACTCGTGGGGAGGTCGAGTAAATACCGATTTGATCAACTATCAAAACTTGTCGAATTCTCTTCTTTCAGGCAGAGAGGAAACCATATCTACGGGCATATTTTCGTGGGGGGGTAGACAAACCCGACCATATATATGCGGTGTCTACAAGGAATTTTTGTCCAAGCGTACGGGTTCGATCGCCCAACATGAAAATCGGCCTTGTGCCACATCCTACCTCGTGGGGAGGTCTGTTAGATACCGGCTTGATCAAGAATCAAGCAACTTCACGGACGGACGAAGGAAGGAAGGAAAGAAGGAAGGACAGTGAAAGAGAAAGAACAAAGAAAAGGAAGAAGCGCATGGTAAAGGAAAGAAAAACAAATTGTTTTGCCCCCTAAAATAACAAATAATTTATTGTTTTTCAATTATTTCTCTTGTTTTACAAATTCTAGCTAATTTCATAACTTCATTCTACAAGAAACGTTTATCTTTCTAAGCACATTTCTTTGGCAGTTTTTTAAAAGTCTTCCAAGGAATTAGATATTTTTTTATCTTTAAGATTAAATATAATTGTTCTAGGAGTAGTTTTGCACAATACCACAAGTTGCTACAAAATGAAAACATTAACCTAAAAACCTAGAGTAATTGTTCTTAAAAAAGCCTCATCAGATCGTGACTTTAATATGGGTGTCATGTATGGCGCCAAACTCGTTATAAATTATCGGTTATTTACAATGGCTTTCTCAGATCGGTAGTTCAAAATGACCTCTAGGGAGTGTAGCCTGGACCATCCTTCATCGAGCCTCGTCGGCTGGCATTACAGAATTACATACAAAGAACTGTACGATATATAAGAAAGCACATCACTTGAAGACATTCGACAGCAGAATCAACTAAAATGGCTGGTAAAAGAGAGAATAATTGACATAATCAGTATGCCGATATTCCACACTAACCGCTGTCAAAAAAGAAGACAAGGAAAGAACACCTCATCAATATTGGAAAGAACATTAACAGCTACTGGACTTGAGAAAACTATTTTCCTGAATTTTGATAAATATCAATTGAGAGCAGCACTAACGTTTTTATCAATGAATACCGAATATTTCATTATAAGGAGACAGCTAATATTAGCATCGCCATTATCCTTTTAATTACCAGAATTCCAAATTGGTGATGCCACCATCAAGAAAGCACAGAAAATTATATCTGGGAAGTATTTTAATATAGGATGGAAATGTGTCACCGAAATCCGAACATGCATTGCGCTAGCGAAAGAAACATTTCAAAAGTTAATGAAGGCAACAAAGCCACTAACACGCACGGGGTTACTGAGTGTGAAAGAGTGCGAAAGAATATAACAAAAAGAAAAACATTATTAAGATTTGGTTTGGTTTGGTTTGTTTTATGGTATATCAACCTCAGTGGGTGAAAACAAAATTTTTGTAATAGATTCATAGCGATAGTTTGGTTTGGTTTGGTTTGTTTTACGGTATATCAACCTCACTGGGTTATTTAATGCCGACAAAATTTTTGTTGCTGGTAATATTTTTTCCTTCACAAATCTATTTTTTGTAGTATTTTTTTCTTCAAAAATGTATTGCTGGCAATACTTTTTTACAAGAATTATTTCTGGTATAAAAATCTATTTTTACGCTTTCATAGTGTTTTGACCCCAGTTTGGGGGTTAACTATTTGCCCAAAGCTGTGACCGTAGCAGATGCTACCACCTCGGGTCAGAGTGGACCTGGGAACAGCAGCAATTAAGAGGTAGTTCCATGCTCCTCAAAACCTCCTGATCACAGGCCTTGCTGTTGGACATAGTTTATCGTCTTACCCAGGACGCGGATGTAGTTTATCGTCATACCCAGGAAGGCATTATTAAGAAGAGAGAAAAATAAAAGAATAGGAATTAAGAAAACAGAAGATAACGTTTGACAATGCATTTAATTTTTTGAAAACCAAAGTTCACTGGGAAGTAAGACACCGGAAGTGATTTCCAGACGGTGGAAGTGTAGAAAAAGAACCTTTTAGCCGAGAACTTAGTTATATCAAGTTGTGTCAACTATTAAATGATGAGACCTTGCCACCAATCTAGTACCGTGCTTAAATTCATAGGATCTAGGTACCACAGATTGATCACCCTCGCTATTCACCTGATTTGGCTTCATCTGACTATCAGCTATTCCCCAACATGAAATTAATTTGGTTGGGAACCAGTATTACAGTGACGATGACATAATATCTGATGTTAGCAACTTTTCTGGCCAATAGGGTGAAAGCTTTGTCATCAATTTGACCCAAACACTGCAACGCCGTTGAAAAAACTAGCAATAATACGACAGCTAAAATCATACGATTAAAAGCGATCTTTGTTTTATTCAAGAGAGTTAAGTCCAAACACTCCTATTGTTATCTAACAACGAAACCAAATCAAAAATATGACCATTCTAATATTAAATTGTTAGATGTATAACATACTTTTCTGGCACCCTATTTCTGTTATTCTGTTATAAGAAAACATCTCGTGCAACGTAGAGTAATTTGTAGAAAGCCAGCCGATTCGTAGCCACGGGAGAAAAAAAACGTATCTAATTCAGTGAATTTCGATTATGGGAGATTGGATTAGGAAGAAGATGTCAAAACACTATTCCATGGCTGAGATTAATGCTTATTTGGTATTAAGAATCATCGTAAATGTTTGCAGGCAAAGACTCTCTTTGTTTAACTTAGTTTGTAAACAATATGAAAATTATATATTCTTTTCTGTTTTAATCTTCCTTTTTTCATTTTTAGAGAAAAGATAGTTCACATGAAACTCTATCATTATCTATATTGCTCGTAATTTAATTTGCGCACGAAAAAATCAATAAAATATCCCTTTTAGTCTTGTTCGAATAACAAACGAAGAGAAAGCAAATAAATCTTCGGTTTTGACAGCGTTTTCATAAATATCTAATTCAATTTGATCACATTTCAAATAAACTTTATTGTAGAGAAAGACAGAGTTATGTCCCCCTGGAATGATCGTTTAGAAAAATCAAGATGCAGTAATTTTCTACTCGAAGTTTTCTTTATAGATATATTTTCCTGTTTGCAAGATATATCGAGGAAAGTATTTTTAAATATCTATATTTATGCAGCTTTTACTTTAACATGCATGCGCCAATCATTATATCATATCATAATAGCAGGAGAAACCTAATTGATAATAATATGATGAAAGGTTAATTTTGACAGTCGTTTGAATTTGTAATGGTCAAAATATAGCAGAAGCTGAAAAATTAACTTATAAAATTTACTATCCTTCCCATTAGAAAACTATTTTGCTCTGAAAATATAACTAAAGAATAATTTTTCTTTGATACTATCAAGAAGAAATAATCAGAAATCGGAGTATATATATATATATATATATATATATATATATATTGATAATCAATATATATATATATATATATATATATATATATATATATATATATATATATATCGTCAGGCCACGATTGCATCTAGCATGAAACAGACTGTCGTCTCTAAGTGTTGACTTCTATGTTCACTTTTATATTTACACACGCTCTAATCTCTGATATTGAGCACTTTATCCCATAAATATAGCACACCTTAAGACTATATTTCTTTATATATATATATATATATATATATATATATATATATATATATATATATATATATATATATGAATTCCCAAGAGGATAGAATCCAGGTAGAACTCAATGTCCTGGACAGAGTAAGAATATATTTTCCGATTTCTGAATTGGATTATGATTACGATTCCAATCAACTAAATTATAATCATGGAATATTAGTGTTTGAGCCTTCTATCTATCTATCATCTATCTATCTATCTATCTATCTATCTATCTATCTATCTCTTTCTCTCTCTCTCTCTCTCTACATATATATATATATATATATATATATATATGTATGTATATATAAGCATTTCATCACATGCAAGGCCGGAGTGCCACAAGTACGCAAGGAGTTACACAGAGTGAAATAAGAGGAAAGACTGGGTATAGGAGGAATTGAAGAAAGGATAAAAAGAAAAATGGGGATCAATGCATCAGAAGATGCCGATTGACATTGCATTTACATTTTTGAAGTCTATAGTTATCAGGCAAGTGAAAGAAATGGAGTTCCACGGTCGGGAAGTGCGAGAGAAGATGCTGTTGGAGTAGAAGAGGTGGTTACATTCAACAGTTTCAACCATAAAAGGGTGAGACTGAGATGCCACGCTTAAATTCATGAAGTCAGGACAGTAGGGAAGATTGCTCGTCTGAGCAGTTGCCATGAAAATATTTGTTAAGAAAACAGAGAGAAGCCGCATAAAGTATGTGAGAAAATAATTGGAGTCCTGATGCCAAGCCAAGACCGGTCACATTGCATATCCATCTTTGGATTATTGTCGAGTACCTCGAGATGAAGAGCGGGGGTCCAGACCATATATGGCAACAGTATAGTGTTAATTTGAAAGACTGTTTTTGAAGTCAATATTGCTGGTTTTTCGGTGGTTTGTCCATAAATAAGCATTTAAAGCAAGTAAGTTTTGTGGTAGAGTGCTCAATATCGAAGACAGCGAGAGTGTATTAATGAAATTGATATAAAAACGTTTTTTCACTTAACACACGTTTACTTCAAAGTTTCTTGGTTACATAGATGTGACCACTCATCAGAACGAAGCTAAACTGCTGCTATCTCTCGATTCTTTTGTACTTTTATTGTGGTATGAGTGCGTTATTTTTCTTTTCGCTTGATGAGTGTTGGTTGGTTGTTGATTTCTCTTCCTCTTCATTCCACTCCAGTAAAGAATAAGAGAAAAAAACAACAAACATAAATTAATAAATAAAAGGAATGGAGAGGAAGAGAAATCAACAAGACATCCGATTAAGACAGATGAGACATTTCGGAAGTGGGAAAATGGAGAAAAACTTTTTACAGACAAGACGTTTCGTCGACGCGTGCTAGTTGAGACATCTTCAAGTCGGGATGCAAGAGAAAACTGTGTTAGGATTTCTGAAGAAAAGGGGCAATATATTTACGCTATCAGCTCCGACCAAGTTTGAACAGAAGAGAAAAGGATTCACTAAAAGAAAATGCATTGAATGTGAGCTGATCTCACAATTTTTTACGATAAACCTCACATCAGGCCTGTACATAATATTACCGACAAAAGCAATAGTAACACAATAAGAACTAATGTTGAGAAAAAAAACCCAAAAAACAAAAAAAAAAAAACAAAAAAACAGACATCTACTTGTAGTGGGCTAATTTTAAATCCGACACCGTTAACGTTTTCAATATTAAAAAAAATAGAAACTTTCTGCTTGTCGAATCTTATACATTAAATTAATTGTCCCCTTTCATCAAAAATCTTAACGTAGTTCCTTTATATATAGTTTTTATCTTTAAAGAAGCGTTTTTACCTTTCGTCAGCATGGCTGATGCTAATCTCCTGGATAGTGACTCATTAGTTTTCTCGGACCATTCTGCAGCTAAGAAAATTGATTCCCTTTGTCGTGCTTGATAATTTTTCTTGCCAGAATCTACCTGAAATATTTAGAAGTCCTTGCATTGAATATTGCTGTCAAATCTGGTTTGGTGCACCTGCTATATATTTAAGGATTCTTGATGAGATCCAAAGTAGAATATGCAATGTTATTTGTTCTGATCTGGCAATTATTCTGCTGAGTCTGTGATAACTAGACTTTATGAATTTAAGCGCAGTACTAGATTGACGGTAAGATCTTATTATTTTATATTTGAAATGGTTAGATATAACCGTAAGTTCTATGCTAATAGTTTCTTCTGTTGCACTTCTCATTTGTGGAATTCTCTTTCTTCCAGTCAAATTTGATCTTTAAAAATGTAAATGCAATGTCAATCGTTATCTTCCTTTTTTTAATTCTTATTCTTTTGTTGTTCTTTTTCCTTAATAATGTTTTTCCCCATGTTCCCTGACACTCGGAACATACTTACGTTTTAGTGGCTTTATTTCCTTGTTTGGCGTTAAATGATAAAAAAAAGTCCAACCCGAATACACCTACCTAGCACATGTAGGCGAAACGTGTTGTCTGTATGTCTCTTTATCTCCACTTCTTTTTGGGCACTATTTTACTAACGCGCAATCGGAAAAGTGTAACGAGGACTGAACGTTTTTGGTTACTTATTTCTTTTAAATGAAACAAAAAATAAAAATAGTCACACGAAAAGATTTACAGCTGTCTTTATTTTTTTTTTGCTTTTTATTCTTTTCGTTCATATTTTATTTCTTACTACTTTTCAAGATGACTTTTTGGTTTTTACAAATTCTCTCCGTTTTTCTTGCCATTTTTTTCTTGTATGACATCTTCGATGCATCAAGTAGATTTAAACCTGATATATTTGAAAGAAAAAGCATAACTGGAACTCGACGCTTGCCCATAGCTGTAGATAAATTGTAAAATATGTGCAAAGAAAGAGTCCAGTACACACACACACACACACACACACATATATATATAGACATATTATTTTATATGCGTGGTACTTAGTGGAAAGCGCTCAATATTAGTGATAGAGTTAACATAATAATTTGTATGGATATGAGTTTATAACCCTGGATTTCACGCTTTTCCAATCATCAGACAATCTGATCTATTTTTTAAAATTGGATCTATTTATGCTTGTTTGACAATGTTCGTTGAGGGGAGGGGGAATCTACTTAAGTGTTTGTTTGGGGTTGCACAAGCATACGCATAGACACATACATACAGCTGTGCGCATTTCAGTTCACACCAACACATCCAGGCGCAGATACATATCCGTGCGTTCGAGCATACATACATACATACGCAGCTGTAATTCTATTTCGGTGTCAGGGCCTTAGCTTTTATATATGTAGCGATGTTCGTTTCAACAAGGAGCGGGTAAGTGTGTTCTTGACGCTTTTCAGATCTAACGCATGGACCGTCAGAGAAACTTACACTACCTCCCACACACACATACACACATGTGTAGACGCACACATACACTATTATTGGTGCGGGCCTTTCCACTACAACTTTGTTTAACCTGGGTTCTGTTTGTGCTCGTGGTGGTGATGATATTTGTATTTTCAACGCTAACTGCTTCTGTTTTGTTGGCGGTTGTGATTATGCTCGTCGATAATAACTCTGATATTAATTATTATTGATAATGTTAATAATAGATATTTATGTTATATATATATATATATATATATATATATATATATATATATATATATATATATATAACATAAATATCTATTATTAACATTATCAATAACAGTCTGGCAAAATGACGTCTGATATGATAGTGCACACAAAGCAGCGGCATGTAGCTGAATTCTTCCATTACTCATTCCTTACGGAACTATTACAAAATAAAAGAATGGATGCAAGTACCACCATTACAATGTTGCAACATAGACTGTAACATACATTCCGCGAGTCATTTGCGATTTCGGATTTTGCATTTGTTCTTAAATTTCCATCGGTGGTTTATATTAACTACAAAATGGGGCACCTTGTGGCGGTGTAATGGTTAGCAAGCTTGGCTCGCTAGAACAATTACGACTGAGTAGTGAGTTCGATCGTCACTGGGTACCCCCTAATTTCGGCTTTGTGCCAAATCTAAGCTACGCTTGGAAAATCACTATATTATCTACTAAATATATACAAGCGCAGCTGGAGCAATTTTGAAAATTTCAAATTTTACTTACTGAACAGTTTCATTGGAGACATGGCGCGTTATTAAATAAAAAGGGTTAATGTCAATTTTAAACTTAACATCATAAAATTGTCGCTTGGACATATAAACATGTAAACATGACCTTTAATAAAAGTTGCCAATAATAAAAAAAAAGTAAATATAAGAATCTTTATGGGAGAAAGGTACTATGATTATATTACTCAGCTATGACCTTTTGTTAAAGTAAATAAAAAACATTCGTATATATATATATATATATATATATTGTGTGTATTTAGGCAGCATTTTTCATTGACGCATGTTTCATTAAATAATATAGACAAGTTTTGTCAACATGCCTGGCCGCATACATAATTCCGGAAAATCCTCGTTGAAAACACAACTATACTTAAACATGAAAACAATAAGCAAAAACTAAAAATTCTTGAAGCTATATACATAAAACAGTTGAAACCTAACCTGAACAAAATAAACTATGAAATCTCCACAAATATTCTTAAATGCTTATAATTGATAAAAGAAGACATTGGTTTATACCAACGGCTTCCCATACTTAATACTTTTCACTCTCGCGTGGTCATGTGTGACGTCACGAGCTGCGGTGCAATTTTCGCTTCCGCGTCTCGTATACACGAGTTTGTCTTTGTTTGGAAATCTTTCATGCAACAAAAACAGACTATCATTATTGTTTTGTCCGTGTATTGTTTAATATATTGAAATGTAATTGTCATCTTTGATGATGGCTTATGTAAGCCGAAAGCTTAGGATTAAAAAACATGTATCAATATGGTGATTTTCTTTGCATTGTCTGGTTTGTATATTTTATGCAACAATATGTATCTGCTTTAAGTTTAGGTCTGGCTGCTGTTAGCTGCCAATCTACGGGTCATGAGCTATTTATAAAAAATAATTTTTAATTTTTGCTTCTTCGTTAGTCACGTCATGTTTGATTGGTTGATCAGAGTATAGCCCTCAAACTTTATAACCCCCATATTTTTTCGAAAAAAGAGGTTGTATTTTGCTTTCAAAACTAAATAAATCGTTCACTCGACAGTAATTTACCATTCCCTGATGAGATGCATTGATATGCATTGGAATACAGCTGCAATTGTGTAGCGATTTTGACAAGTTTTCTGTGTAATATCCTAAAATAAATAATGTTGCTTTACTCTGTATTGAATTGAGTCCTCTATTAAATTAAATGTTACGAACGTTGCAATTGTACTCTATTCGTTCTCATCGTACCTGTATATATATATATATATATATATATATATATTCACAATCCGATTTTTAATTATTTCTTCTTGCAATTTACATAGTTCATTTCACTTTTTCATTGATGATCTAATTATGATTGTACCAGAGAGAACTCATTTTCCCGTTTTCTTCTCAGAGAAAAAAACAAAAAAAAATGATAGTTTTAATAGAAAATATAATTTTCTTCTAAAAGAGGGGTTCCTAACCAGCCCCCGCTCAACAGGGAATTTCTGGGATACAAAGGGGGAGTGATGTTTTTCACAAGTTTCCCATTGATTGAAATCTTCATCAGAATAAAATCGATTTATATACCCTGACCTTTTATTGAACGTTTTGATTATTGAATTACAATAACCTTCCATTCTATTGAACGTTTTGTTCATTAAAGTACGCTTTAGATTATTTATTTAATAAATAATTATAAATTAAAATAAATTATTGTACATGTATTCAAGGTTAAAAATCCATTTTCTATTGTTATTAAATTTGTAAAACTCTTCTATAAAAATAATCCATGTAAATATATCTCTATATATAAAACAGAGAATGTCTTTCTGTCTGTCTGTCTGTGTGATACTTTTTCACTCGAGATACATCCAACCGATTTTGACCAAACTTGGCACATACATTGTACAGTGTAAGAGATAGCTTCTTAGCGTAAAAAATCGATATTTAAAAAAAATTATTAATCGATAAAGCCGATCAAAAATCGATAAATTCAACTTTTTACCTCCGATTTCTTTCAAACTCGGCATGTAGGTTACTTACATCATGATGAGCTCAACGATACCTCATTTTTATTCCTATGTCACGGCGTTTAGTGAAAAACCAAAACTCGATTTCATCACAAATTTTAAACTAAAAACTACCTCAATTTTCAAGCAGTCTGATACAAACTTCACTCAACTGTAGCTTAACAATTACTTTATAAATGTATCCTCTTTTTCATCTATTGTAGCACACTGACAAATTGAATTTCAAAACCTTCAACATAATTGTTTGAAGTGGGTCTTCATATTGCCTGTTTTACCTCTTCATGTCTTCGGCTAAGTTCGATTGAATAAATATGGACTACTTCTATTATATCAGTAACTGAATTCGAAATGTTTCTGAATGAAAGTACTTTAAAGTAAATGAAGATTGTTACATCTAAACATGATGTTGTTTTTGCTCCATTCTAATTGAATGCTTTTTCTGATCGACCAGCTGGGTATGGCAACCGGTATACTATAATATGGAAAAGAATGAAGATTTTCAATAATATATGCATATTATTTGGAATGCACTTTTTTAGTCGGACAATCTTAAAAAGTCTGTTGAATGGAATCCTGTCATATGGTAAAATGAGTGAATTGGACGAAAAAGGTTGAGAACCACTGCTCTAAAACAAGCAGAATTATTTCATTCTGAATTTCTGGGACAGATACTTACCATTCTTTACATTTTTGACTAATATTCTAATCTATGTTTCGACCTTTCCACCGTGCTTCAGGTTCTGTCGATCCGGGTAAAGCTTTAGATAACTCATCTTTTTTAGCAAAGTCTATGGAATCGGAACACAAAACCTTCGACACCGACTCTGACTGTTCTATGTTTGGCACTATCAAATCCGACTCCTCCTTGTTTAATTAAGTGATTATTGTCTAGAAATCACAAAGCCTATGCATATATGCCTAACTTGAGTAGGCCTATATCATTACAACTGGTTTATATCACGGAATAAAGATATTGTGGCTTTTATATCATACCTATTCATTCTTCAATACTTTCTAACAGAATTAGAGATAAAATCTTTGAAAGGATATAGAGGAAATAATAATAAAAATAAAAAATGCTATAATATAAGTCTTTATATATTATATATATATATATATATATATATATATATATATATATATATATATATATATATATCTTTGCAAATAAAAAAGTATAGAACAAAAATAAAACTACTTGATGACAGAAGTTGAAATATAATCTTTTACAGGATGTAAAAGGCATAACAAAAAATAAAAATTCTATAATGTAAGAATTTATTTTATATATATAGTTTTGCAAATACAAAATAACTACAAAAAAAATAAAATGACTTTAAAAAAGAAGCTGAGATAAATTTCTTTAAAGTAAATAGTAAATATACAGTACAAGAAATAACAGTAAAAATAAAAATTCTATAATGTAAGACTTTGTGTAAATTCAACTGGTGTCAAAGTGGGTATAGTTTTACTGGCACCGACTCCAGTGACCCCTTAATTGCTTAAGACTCCGACTCCGGCCCCGACTCTTGTGACCCATCAATTGCTTCAGGCTCCGGCTCCGGCGGCTCCGGCTCCAGGGACTCTTTAATTGCTTCCGACTGCGTCTCCGCCTCCTACTTCTGTGACCCCTTAATTGCTTCCGACTACGTCTCCGACTCCAGTGCCCCCTTAATTGCTTTCGTTTCCGACTCCGGCTCCGACTCCAGTGACCCCTTAATTGCTTCCGACTACGTCTCCGACTCCAGTGCCCCCTTAATTGCTATCGTCTCCGACTCCGGCCCGACTCCAGTGACCCTTAATTGCTTCCGACTACGTCTCCGACTCCAGTGCCCCCTTAATTGCTTTCGTCTCCGACTCCGGCTCCGACTCCAGTGACCCCCTTAATTGCTTCAGACTACGTCTCCGACTCCAGTGCCCCCACTGCTTTCGTCTCGACTCCGACTCAGTGACCCTTAATTGCTTCCGACTACGTCTCCGACTCCAGTGCCCCCTTAATTGCTTTCGTCTCCGACTCCAGTGACCCCTTAATTGCTTCCGACTACGTCTCCGACTCCAGTGCCCCCTTAATTGCTTTCGTTTCCGACTCCGGCTCCGACTCCAGTGACCCCTTAATTGCTTCCGACTACGTCTCCGACTCCAGTGCCTCCTTAATTGCTTTCGTCTCCGACTCCGGCTCCGACTCCAGTGACCCCTTAATTGCTTCAGACTACGTCTCCGACTCCAGTGCCCCCTTAATTGCTTTCGTTTCCGACTCCGGCTCCGACTCCAGTGACCCCTTAATTGCTTCCGACTACGTCTCCGACTCCAGTGCCCCCTTAATTGCTTTCGTCTCCGACTCCGGCTCCAGTGACTCCTTAATTGCTTCCGACTACGTCTCCGACTCCAGTGCCCCCTTAATTGCTTTCGTCTCCGATTCCGGCTCCGACTCCAGTGATTCGTTAATTGCATAAGACTCTGACTCCGTCTCCGTTTCCATTGACCCTTTAATTGCTTCCGACTCTACGACTCCGACACCACAGTCCTGTTTTTTTTTTTTTTTGTTTTTTTTTTAAACTGCTCATGTTTTTAGGGACAATGGAAAGAAGGTGGACACACACGTAGCATCAAGGACACGTGTTGTGGAATGAGGTCTTGCAGATACGGACACTGACAGAGAATATTGAAAGCAAGGCGGGTAAAGGAAAAAAGTGAATAATCTATCTAACGCGCTCGCGTAAACATGGGTTGGAAGTGGTAGCCAAAAGTAAACCTTACTAAGGGTTATATAGGGCAACAAGTCGTAGAGAACAATTTTTACTTCAGTCCTGAAAGCACACGGCTCATAGAACAAGAAGATTAATCGTCACAGGAATTTAAATTAACTATTACTTTGCAACCAAATTCCCGAATGAACGCTTTTATCATCTTAGCAAACTTTGCCCTCCCCACCAGATCTTTATGAACAGAAGTAGCGGGTTATTCATTGTTTCCTCTTTACGATTGGGTTTTCGGTTCCTACTAAAGTCTATTTTCACACTATTACTTCTAACGACTCCAACTGTACTCTTAAATGTTATTCCCTAATTCAATCTTGGGCTCTTCAAGTCTGGAGTTAGTCGTTATCTTTTCCGCTTAGCCCCAATAACTTCACTTCCTGTCCGTTCTTACACACACACACACACACACACACACACACACACACAACGCCACGCTGTAACCCCCTACTTTGAGTGGCTCTTGGGCCTTGTATTAGGTGAACATTATTAAAAAAAAAGAAAAATAGAAACTATAAATCTTGGACACAGAACATCAGTGTTTTAACGGTTGTTTAGAAATAACTATTTTGTTCGTTTAATGTTCAACGAGAAATAATTAAGTCCTGCTATGTTTGCTTGTGAGGAAAATTAACTCTCTATTATAAAACAGCTGGTCGAAACAAAAGTACATTTCCAAAACTAAGCAAACTATTAAAAACAGAAAAAAATTCGTTAGAAACAAATGATTGATTGATTCTACGGATTATCAACCCTTCGCAGGTTATTTAAAGCCAGAACATATTTTTAGATTGTAAGAAATATTTTGGGTGATAATAATGACTTAGTGATATGAATCTTACTAATTAATCCATAGCTGGGGGAGAAGAGATGGATTTATGCCTTTCCGAAGGGTATTTGAATATAGAAAATCCAACGAGATTTGGAACTCGGCTCTCCGATTAATTACTCCGAGCCATTTTACATTAAACCACCCGCACATCCAACTTTACAGCAACTGGTATTCTCAAGCAGTCACCCATCAAGGCACTGACCAGGATTGACATTGCTTAACTTTGGTGATTGTACGAGAACCGGTGTCTTAACGTGATGTGGCTTTAAGCTTAGAATTATAGCAAACAGTACTGACCAGCTATGTAATATTCGTACACCTGTATGGCAGGATAATCTGCTTACAGACGAAGAAGCATGATGAGAATATCATGGATCGAACATGTGAGCATCGACGAAGTTTTAGATAAAATGGAAACATAAAGGATATTTAGATGGCATGTAAAGAGCAAAGAGGACTTGGCAAATTTGATACTCACGTGACAGATAGAGAGCAAGAGAGACAGAAGCAAATATTGTAACCTAGGTAATGTTACTGAATAAAATAACCACACGAAAAATGGTAAGGAACAATAATACTTAGCACAAGAACAACATATATAAGATTCACGAGCGGTGCGTAGAAGAAGTAGTCAACTGCTAGAAGTGAGTTAAGTGAATTCCACAATGAATCACCAACTGCAGGATATCTACCAACCGCCCCACGCAGTCAGTTGTGGCACAAGGCCAAATTTAATGTTGGGTATCCGAACCCGTAGACTCGGCCAAAAATTCTCCATAGACCCCGTATAAAACGGGGTCGGATAGCTGTTTCCCGAGACGAAACTCTGCCCTTCGACATAGCTTCGTCTGGGGATCCTCTCTGTCTGGAGGCAAAGAGTTTGACCAGCACAGCTGGAGACGAATCTCCAATTGCAGGATATCTACCAACGGCCCCACGCGGTCAAATGTGAATTTAATGTTGGGTATCCGAGCCTATAGGCTCAGCCAAAAATTCACCGTAGACCCCATATAAAACAGGGTCAGGTAGCTGTTTCTCAAGACGAGACTCTGCCCTTCAACATAGCCTCATCTGGGTATCCTCTCTGCACGGAGGCAGAGTTTTTGACAAGCACAGCTGGTGATGAATCACCGGCTGCAGACCAACATACAGTATTTACTACTGTATTTATGTGAATGGGGTCATACCGATTATCGTCCGTAGGTATGCAACAATAGCAAAGAATGCATAACCTATTTAGCGAACTTGAGTAAATGGATGGCGGAACAAGGTTTAGGAGAAATAACAAAAAGACAAAATTTATTAAGAGCTACAAAGGACAGGGAATTGTGGAGAGCAATGAACGCCTACGTCCTGAAGAGACATGGTACATAGAAAAAAGAGGAATGAGCTTGAGTAAATAGGTGGCGGAACAAGGTTTAGGAGAAATAGCAAAAAGACAAAATTTATTAAGAGCTACAAAGGACAGGGAATTGTGGAGAGAAATGATCGCCTACGTCCTGAAGAGACATGGTACATAGAAAAAAAAGAGGAATGAGCTTGAGTAAATAGGTGGCGGAACAAGGTTTAGGAGAAATAGAAAAAAAGACAAAATTTATTAAGAGCTACAAAGGACAGGGAATTGTGGAGAGCAATGATCGCCTACGTCCTGAAGAGACATGGTACATAGAAAAGAGGAATGAGCTTGAGTAAATAGGTGGCGGAGCAAGGTTTAGGAGAAATAGCAAAAAGACAAAATTTATTAAGAGCTACAAAGGACAGGGAATTGTGGAGAGCAATGATCGCCTACGTCCTGAAGAGACATGGTACATAGAAAAAGAGGAATGAGCTTGAGTAAATAGGTGGCGGAACAAGGTTTAGGAGAAAAAATTTAGCAAAAGACAAAATTTATTAAGAGCTACAAAATAGGACAAGGTTTAGGAGGAATTTATTAAGTGGACAGGGAATTGCAATGATCGCCTACGTCCTGAAGAGACATGGTACATAGAAAAAAAGGAATGAGCTTGAGTAAATAGGTGGCGGAACAAGGTTTAGGAAAAATAGCAAAAAGACAAAATTTATTAAGAGCTACAAAGGACAGGGAATAGTGGAGAGCATTGATCGCCTACGTCCTGAGGAGACATGGTACATAGAAAAAGAGGAATGAGCTTGAGTAAATAGGTGGCGGAGCAAGGTTTAGGAGAAATAGCAAAAAAAAATTTAAAATTTATTAAGAGCTACAAAGGACAGGGAATTGTGGAGAGCAATGATCGCCTACGTCCTGAAGAGACATGGTACATAGAAAAGAGGAATGAGCTTGAGTAAATAGGTGGCGGAACAAGGTTTAGGAGAAATAGCAAAAAGACAAAATTTATTAAGAGCTACAAAGGACAGGGAATTGTGGAGAGCAATGATCGCCTACGTCCTGAAGAGACATGGTACATAGAAAAGAGGAATGAGCTTGAGTAAATAGGGTGGCGGAGCAAGGTTTAGGAGAAATAGCAAAAAGACAAAATTTATTAAGAGCTACAAAGGACAGGGAATTGTGGAGAGCCATGATCGCCTACGTCCTGAAGAGACATGGTACATAGAAAAAGGAATGAATAAATAGGTGGCTTTAGAGTTTAAATAGGTGGACAGGAACAAGGTTTAGGAGAAATAGCAAAAAAAGACAAAATTTATTAAGAGCTACAAAAAAGACAAAATTTATTAAGAGCTACAAAGGACAGAAATTGTGGAGAGCAATGATCGCCTACGTCCTGAAGAGACATGGTACATAGAAAAAGGAATGAGCTTGAGTAAATAGGTGGCGGAACAAGGTTTAGGAGAAATAGCAAAAAGACAAAATTTATTAAGAGCTACAAAGGACAGGGAATTGTGGAGAGCAATGATCGCCTACGTCCTGAAGAGACATGGTACATAGAAAAGAGAATAGAATGAGCTTGAGTAAATAGGTGGCGGAACAAGGTTTAGGAGAAATAGCAAAAAGACAAAAAAGACATTAAGAGCTACAAAGGACAGGGAATTGTGGAGAGCAATGATCGCCTACGTCCTGAAGAGACATGGTACATAGAAAAAGAGGAATGAGCTTGAGTAAATAGGTGGCGGAACAAGGTTTAGGAGAAATAGCAAAAGACAAAATTTATTAAGAGCTACAAAGGACAGGGAATTGTGGAGAGCAATGATCGCCTATGGTCCATAAGAGACATGGTGGCGGAGTAAATAGGTTAGAAAAAGAGGAAAAGGAGCTTGAGTAAATCGCCTAGGAAGAGGCATGGAACAAAAGAGTTTTGAGGAATAGGTGGCGGAAAGGTTTAGGAAAATAGCAAAAAAGACAAAATTTATTAAGAGCTACAAAGGACAGGGAATTGTGGAGAGCAATGATCGCCTACGTCCTGAAGAGACATGGTACATAGAAAAGAGGAATGAGCTTGAGTAAATAGGTGGCGGAACAAGGTTTAGGAGAAATAGCAAAAAGACAAAATTTATTAAGAGCTACAAAGGACAGGGAATTGTGGAGAGCAATGATCGCCTACGTCCTGAAGAGACATGGTACATAGAAAAGAGGAATGAGCTTGAGTAAATAGGTGGCGGAACAAGGTTTAGGAGAAATAGCAAAAAACAAAATTTATTAAGAGCTACAAAGGACAGGGAATTGTGGAGAGCAATGATCGCCTACGTCCTGAAGAGACATGGTACATAGAAAAGAGGAATGAGCTTGAGTAAATAGGTGGCGGAACAAGGTTTAGGAGAAATAGCAAAAAAGACAAAATTTATTAAGAGCTACAAAGGACAGGGAATTGTGGAGAGCAATGATCGCCTACGTCCTGAAGAGACATGGTACATAGAAAAAGAGGAATGAGCTTGAGTAAATAGGTGGCGGAAC